ATAGTGCATATTGGCAAGTGGGGGAAAATATCCTGATTTAGCAAATATGCCTATAACATGCAACTTTAACTTTGAAAGAATCTTTCTGATGTGTTCATAAACAGTTTTTAATGGGGTAGTACACAAGGTTGTCATGTACAATCTTTATTTTTTGTGTGCATTATAGCCTATTAAGCTTGTTTTGGGATATTTCAAAGTGAATCTGTCAAGGCAAAAGTGTGATTAAAGGGAAACTATAGTGTTTGTCAAATTTAAAGGTTTATACACAGATTTAAATCTTTTTTTCTTTTGAAATGTAAAATGGGTGCCTAACTGTGATCATGTGGGGGTTACTAGCCCTGCATTTGCTGAATGCTCCTGCAGACTGAAGATCTAGAAGTAATCTCGCTCCCGGAGGAGCAAGGTGTCCCTCCCTTTGAGTTCTTCAGCTGTTTTAGGTTTTTAAACCAAGATCTACTATTAAGGTCTGTATCCACAAGCAGGATATCATCGTTATATATGCCATTTACTGTCTTTACCATAAAGATGAAAAACTTTACACTTAAACAAAAAAATAAATGTATAAAACTATACTTTCCCTCTAAGCAAGGACTGAATCCATTTCCTGACTCGTACTCTCTCGGATATAATACATGGCACTGAATCTGGAATTGCTTCTGAGCAGTTTTTGCTTTGTGGCTGCCACTTTAATCTCAACAGTTTATAAATTTAGATGGCTCATGAGCTAGTACTGTAGATAACTAATTTTATGCATCTACCTGTGGATTTTGTAAATCTGTTGCAAGTTTTTTTGGTATGGTAGTGGGAAAGGTTTCTGTCAAGTTGTTGCATTAATGTCCCCTTTGCTACTTGTCCCTTTGTCACAACTCAGGGGATGTGAGTAGACGTCTTGGACAGCAAGAACTTGACAGGTTCTAATCTTTCCCTCTTGTCAATAACGTGAATGTGGAATTGGGCATTTGACATGTTAACAGTAAATGTGTTTGTTTTTTTGTGCACTTTTTTTGCAGTAGACTTGCATATTGCTGTTTTAAAATACGGTCTTAGAGGACCATTAAGGATGCCATTGCTGCTTTCTGAAATGCTGGTTACCTGTCTACCAATACCTTTTGAGTCGCTTACTCAGAATAAACATTCAGCTAGTGCAGGCAATTGATCAGCATACTTGTTCATGACGTTTTGTTCTGAATTGGGTTAGCTTGATGACCAGGCAGGTAACCCTTTAGAAGTAGATCATAAATGGCAGCCTCCACATATCTTGATGGGTTTACTTTAATTTCAGCTCAACTGATATTTGGGTCTGACAAGTTGTGCTCCTTAGCCTGCACTTGCCATGTCCAACCTGCTGTCCTGCACTGAATTTGTAGCTTCTGATGTAACTGCGTTATAGTATAGTTGTACAATATACAAAACAGCATAGATTTCTAATAACTAGCTAGTGAAAGTAATGTTAGTACAAGATTGTTGCCTTCTAAGAATCCTCTACTAAAGTACAGAAGCGGCATTTTCCTTGGAGAAGTCAAGTGTTGTGCATCCTGTGGAGCCTGTCGAAAGCTGCTCATGGCTAGTTCATATGCGGAATTAGTCTGGTAGTTGAGGTAACTCTTTTGCTCATGTCCATACCTATGCCTCAAGCTCATGTTGTGCCTGTGATACATATAAAACTTGATTGTTCACTGAACTCGGTACTGGTGTGATCTTATAATTGGCAAATATTCTTTGGCTATTCAACAGTCTGGTTCTATCTACAATAGTCCAGTGTCTGTCCAAAACCTGCTGGGTATTATCAGGTGCTACCAGTACTCAATAGTTTCTATTTTTTCCCTCCCCTACCACAAAACTCCAGGCAAACCTGCATATGTTGACTTTAACCTGCCTAAGGCTATCGACACTTAGTCTGCCACTGCACAGCTAGGTAGGTGATACTAGTTTGGTTCAGCAATGCAGCTTCCCATGTCACCCCATGCTTTTTAACTGGTTTATGAATCTCTATCACCATTTTCAAATGTTAGGCTGGTGGCCCGATAGATGTAGAGTAATCTAGCTGTAATGTCATAAAGGTGCATACAATCAGATTGGTTGACTGTTCAGTTAATGTTCAGTTATTTTACTTTGGCTAGTAAGAGACTTCACGTGTTTTTGGCAGTTTAGTCAGCAGTTTGCCTGGAGTTCCACTTAAAGAACCAGCCATAAACCAAATGCTAAAAGCCCCACCCTTAGATATATTATTTTTTTTTTTAAAGTGGCATTTTAAACTTGTTTTACCTTGTTTCAGGATGACCACGACAACTAAACATTTTGGTGTTGGTGGATTGCTGAACCTCCTGTACAGTAGTGTGTGACATCTATAGATGGAATAATAGGTAAGCAGCCCTAGTTGAGGTTTTTATTTAGAGTGTTCACACTTATCTGTTTTTCATGCAGCAAAACATGAATATTTTGCTGTATGAAGATGAATTGCAATTGATGGCATTGTTCAAACAGTTAATTGTGCAGCACAGAGTTGTGGCCCTTAACAGTTCTGTCCTAGAGTGACACTAGACACCGTGAAGAGTGTGTAGCAGCACAGGAAGTGATTTCTTGCAGAGCATTAGGCTGAAAATAAGAGGAAGGGGAGCCTAAAGGTGGGCGGGGCACAAATGCAGCTTAGCAGTTTCTGATGGGTTACCTACAACCTACTTCATTTAGTTATAAGCGTAGATCTGTTTTTGAGATCTGAGTTCTCCTATCCAGATTGATGCTGAAAGGTACTTTAATAAGGGTAGTTTAGCATTTGTTGAAAATTTCATATTTAAATGAAACTGGCCTAATTCATTTCTTTCTCTCTTTCTAGGTGTTGGGAGTCCATAATGGAGATGTAATGTTAATAAAAAATGTTGATGACCAACAATTGTGTTTTTATTGCTTTAGGCACATATACATATGTACTTGAATACAGATATCTAAACGGAGTGTGGGGAATTTAAGCTAGCCACCTAGAGGTACCACCTGGTAGGGTGCCCTGTAAGACCTGACAGGCACTTCTCAGTTCATGTTTTCTCTACAAAATCCTGACCTAGCTTCATGGCCTTGCTCAAGTGCCTACACTTTTGGAGTTTCTGCTGTTCTCCTTAACTGCTTAAAGACCTGGTGTTTAGACCCCCCCCTCCCATCCAGGCCATTTTTCAGTATTCAGCGGTACTTGGACTGACGTTTATTCCGTCATACAATGCTGTACTGAAATTAATTTTATACAATTTTTTTTGGGGGGGGGGGGGGAGGTGATAGCTTTCTTTTGGTGGTATTTAATCATTTAGTTTATTTTTTACTATAATTAGGAAAAATTACTGCATTTTGAATTTTTTTTTTTTACATTGTTAAACATTTATTACCCAGTTTTTTTTTTTGGTCAAATATAAACATGTCAAGCTTTAAAATTGCGCACACCCACAAAATCGCAGAAAACTACCATACCCAAAATTGGCCATAGGTGATGCTTTAAAAGCTTTTACCGCTCATCAGTTTAGTGTTATCAGTGATTGATGGCCCTAGAATGATTGCGCTCACTGTGACGTTTGCGGTGATATGTAACGTGTGGCGTAATTGTCGTTTTCACGTATGGGTGGGGATTTTAAAATTACTTTTTTGTGACTTTAAATTTATGGAGGGGAAACAATTTTGTTCCACTAAACTTTATTGCGATCACATGGGAGCTAATATCACCCCCTATGTGATAGTTTTTTTTTTATGGAGACATCAGGGCTCTCCAAGACCCCTAATGTCGCCTAGGACTCTCCAAAAGAATCTGAAGCACAGATCTGCTCCATCAGCTTCTGAAGCTGGAGTGACACAAGAATGTGGAAGTGATGTCATATACAACACTTCCACATTCTTGCAGAGGAGGGGATCGGAGGGAGCTCGTGTACCGATCTCCCTCTGATCCCCTGTGACACAGGCACCATGCATCCCGGGCACGGCAGAGGGACACCGATAGTTACCCCATACAAGCGATCTGCCGGCGCATCGCTTGTATGTTAACAGGCATCGCTGCCTGTTTTTTTTTACTAATGGGCATTTCCCGCTTGTGCGTGCGTGTGTGTCTGAGCGGACGGCTAAAGATGCCTGCTCAGATCTCGAGCTCCCGGTTGGCTGTTATTTTTTTATTTTATACAATGGCTGGCCTGGAGGTAGTTAAGCTGGCCATGCACTACTAATTTTGGCTGGTTCTTGATGAAATTGCCAAAATTGCACAGTTGGTGCCCCTATTGTCTCTCAATATCCTTGAGTGCACGATGCTCGCAGCCAATCGGCTGCCATCACAGTTCTGAGTATTGACAGCGGCACACCCGCTACGGTCAGGATGCAAAGGACACAACTGAAAATTCCGCCATCCATGCTGTTTAGTGTTGATGGGGGAATCTTGTTTAGCTAGTTTTATTTTTTCCATTCAGCAAAGACAATTTTTGACTTATGGGCAGGGGCTCTCTGGATGAATGCATTAAATTTTTGGGTGTTGGGCTAGAAGTTTGTATAAAGACATAGTTTGTTCATTAAGGTATACTGAAAGGCAAACGCAGCCCTGAAAGTTTTTGTGGTTAATATTAGTAAACATTAAAAACAAACTAGTGCTGACCCAACTGCCAGAATTACTGTTTTTTTACACTGAAATCTCAATGCAGCTGTTTTACCGGTCTTTCCTCCAGTAAAG